ATTGTTCAGTTCCTGGAACATTCAGGGTTATTCAACATCAATGTGGTAAGCGCTTTGACTAGTCACTACACTGGATCATCCTTGATATTTTCACTGTCTTCAGTGTTATGATCATGAACTGCAGATAACCTTGGTCAACTTGCATAAAAAGATAAATGTTTCAGTATCAAATATCAGATCAGGTATACTAAACGCATACACTGTTGAGTGTTGATTGATACCTTTGATCGATACCCTCAATTGACCCTCACTGACCCTTGATCTACACTTGATCAATACTTGATCAACACGTCAGTTGACGCTCGAATGACACTCGATCAACATCTTAGTCGAACGTTGGTTAAGAGTCGACTAATTTTTCACAGACACCTCATCAAGTATTGATCGATACATACATGTATGAGTTGGTCAACACTCCGCCGTATATATCGACTGACACTTGATCACGTGTCAATCAGGTGTTGATCGAGATTTTGATCAAGTGGTGATCAAGATATCAATCAAGTTTGGTCAAAGGTCAATCAAGGGTATTGATTGACCCTGAGATAGATGCCTTTAGCACACATGATCCCATGCCCTCAAATATGAAAAAAACCTTTGTCGTGAAGTTCAGACATACTATAATTTATGAATATTCAAGAAGCTAAATTTGTTGGGCGTTTGTTGCATATTGTCATAGCTAGGTTAATCAAGTCCACTAAACAAATACAAGCCCCAGGTTCATGTTGAGAATTATTTACTGCACTTTATTGTTAGTCCATGTTTGAGAAATAACAGAATGGAAAAACTGTTCCCAAAATTTTAACATATTCAGCCCTGCCAATCAAAATTCACTTTATACAGTTTTTTTTTTCCATTCCTGATTCTAAACAATTAGAGGAATTCTTTGCTTATGATCCTGCTTTTGGCTTCGCACTGCTTGCTTACCATCCTGTATCCATCCTAAACTGTATTGTATAGTACATGTGTTTATGAAATGTAGTTTCGGACAGATACATGTATGAGATGGTGGACTAGAAAATGATATAGGGTAAACCAAATCAGGC